GAGACAAGTCGACACATAGCGTAGTGAAAAAAGTTAGTTAAAATAGCTTTATTATATTCTTTATTAAAAGTATGTATCAAATAGACGTCTCTAGAAAATCGGAAACGCACCACTAATTATTGTTTGCAGTCTACATACATACATATATTAAGCGCAGTCCGATAATTTTGTAATAGTGTTATATGAGCAATGAAGCAGTTAATGTTTAACTGATGTAATACAAAATTCTATTCAAAATAATTTTAAAGTTTATATAAAATAGATTTATTAAGTTATAACATTATAAATATTTGGTATGACGCTTACTTATGATATATTTTCTGGGTTGGGACTCATTTTCAAAGCGTTCCTCAAAAGGTTATTGACTTCGATTTCGATATTACATTCATACATCTATATATTGTCTCTGGTATTAATGTGTTGCATGAATGCTTAGTATATAGGAGGTTTCAAAAAAGTCGGATTGTAATTTCAAGGGCAGTACTAAAAATTTAAAGAATAAATCTGACATAAAAGCTATATATCGTCAGTTTCTCTATAACTGCATTTATATTAATATAAATATTCATATTTTTCGAATGTGACGCATTTTATGACGAAAAGAAACTATTAATAAGTTAGAAGGGGTCAAATAGTAATGAAGAAATAACACCAAAAATTTTAGTTAATTTATTGATTATGATTAGCCAAATTTTAATAAATTAATTAAAATATTTGTTGTTGTTTCTTCATTAATGTTCGAACCTTTCTATATATTAATATACTTTGGTATTGAAGTAAAAAACTTTTTAGATTAAAACATTTATAGTAATTATAAAAATGTATTTTTCATTTATGAATTCAATTATTTGAGCTACATAAACTCAAATTTAAAAAGCAATAACAAACTGTAGTATTTATATTAAAAAACCTATTCCATACACATATAAACATATATGTACTTATATTCTATACATTGTTAATAAGTTCCGAATAGATTTATGAATCTAGTACTTTAGTTGAAATGACGCAGTAATTTAGAACTAATTCAGCGTAAGTCAATAAATTATTTAATGATTCCATGCTATTTATTTTGATGTTAATTGCTATTTTTGACTTAATTAAAAGGTCAACATAGCGCGCTTTGTTCACATTGGTATTAATTAACATTAACTTGTTTTAATCTAAGATTTTTACAAAAACGTTTTGTATTTTCTTAGAAAATTTCGGGTAAAATTCGTAAAAAAAAATTATTTTTTCTTTGAAAAATTTTAAATTAAATCGTTTTATGTAGTGCTATTTTAAAAATCTGTGGTTGAAAATTTTTAAAGAGATATTAAATTCATTGCTCAATAAAAAAAATCTTTTAATAAGCATAAAAATAATTAAACTTTTTTGACGTTTTTTACTTAATTTAAAACATAATTTTTTAATGATTTATTGTAAAATTAGTTATTACTATTTATTCCATATTCTTATCATTTTTTTTTTATTGAAACGTCCTTCTATAAGCTAGCTGTTTCCGATTATAACTCCTGGTACCATGAGGAATGAATGTTTTTATTCATACTCGTGTGGTTTGTAGCCTTTGTTCTTTAAAGTTCTGGCTTAGCTTACCGTCAATAGGTATATCTACCACACATCTAAGAAAGTCACTGGTATATATACAATTATATATATACCTATAAGCAGTAAACTAACTTTAGAATTTTTTGTTTTCTTTAAGAATGTTAATAGTTTCTCTTTTAGCTTTTCCATAACAACCCAAGTATATTTGTCAAAAAAATTTTGATCAAACAACCCTCTATATTAGAGAAATAGTTTATCCAAATATCGTTTTCCGTTTTTTGCACTAAGGAATAGTCTTCGGAATTTACGTGGCGTTTATAATTTATAATCTATATAATCTATATATGTATAATCTATCAATGGAGTATATTCATTATAGTTTTGTTTTGGTTTTAAAGGTTTTGTACTCTGCAAAAATTATGTTTTACATACTTTTGTTCATATTCAATATATTTTTTTTATGGAATAGAAAATGAATGGGGTACTGGGTATTAGATAGCGGAATACTGGAAACATGCTTGATCTCTTGTGTTATTTACTGACTAACTGAACAGAAAATACTCTACCTTTCAAGTGATAGCCAAAAAATCAGCGGTTAAGGATATCCTAGCTTCAGACGAGGATATGAGGCTCAGATAAGAGCTTTAGCACTCTTCTCCTGGTTTAATTCAATGCCGGAGAGTAATAGAGAATGTGACTAGAGATTTCGTTCGCTTTCAAACAGAAGCGATATTCTGTCAATTTACACAGACCCATCCTATTAATACGATACCGTTGGTTGTGATGTGCTGTCAGCCAATCTGCCAATAACCTTAGTTTCGTTCTACTGAGTAAGGGCACCCTGACGTAGTTTAACGACCGCATCAGCCTGGCGATTACCGGGAATGTCACGCCAGTAGCAACTTCTCTCAGTTACAAATCATATTTTATCAAAAAAACTTTAATTTTGCCTTTTAAATATAGTTGAAATATATCCCGGTTTTTTTATATACAGACTTTATTATATTGGAAATTCATCTGTCAAGACTTTTTTTTACAGCATTCCAAAAAAACCGTTAGAATAAAGTTTTGAATGATTTGATCATTTAAAAATTTTTTTATCAAATCTGTACTTTACATAATTAACTGAAACTACACAATTATATTAAGGCAATCATAAATTTAATATAACTTATCTTTGATGCACTCCAAATTAAGCGGTTTGTGGATTTTTACATATTTCAAAGTCATTAAGGAAGTGGGGACTTAATGTTAATTTGATAAATGAATTCTGAATAACTCAGCGGTTATCAGCTTTGCTTGAGAGAAAAGTACTTTAGTAGCAGTTGACTTCTTATATTTAATTTCTTATCCATTAACTTATTTTACATTATATTTAATTAGTAGCATAATGATTCAAAAAGAATTTAATAGAGTAAAAAAAAGTCATAAGATTTTGTAGTGACTTTGTGCTTTCTTCAAAAATAGCCACAGTCACTATAATCTGAGCGGAGCATAAGTATGATCTCACCTAACTTATGCATTGAATTTGTCACCGTGATGAAAAACATTTAAAATTTTGTGATTAAAAATGCATTGTGAGAAATCATTTTTGTTGCTGTGATGCTGTTGTTCTTTCAAGAGACGTTACTCATTGTTGAGTAAGTCTATTTGGTATGCATTACTTGTAATTACTTACAATTCTGATAGCAGTTGTGAATAATCAACGATGATAATTAATTCCGATTGTTAGGAAATAAGCCCAGTACTTTCATGCGATTGAATCGAATGATGTCCAGGATCTAGAATCAGGTTTAAATTAACCTGGACTACCCTCAAAACCTTAATAACCTAACTATTTTCAAGGGTAATAACCTAAATACCCTTGAAAATAGTAAGGTTATTAAAATTTTAATAGTAGTTCAGGTTAACTTGGAAAATTCTCTCCAGGGATAGCGCAACAGATCTTAAACGTTGCATTGTACCATTGTCCCTATTACTAATAATAAAATCGTATTCTTGTGTTCTTACATTTAAAAATATAGTGCAATTTTTTTTTTAATTATTTTAGAATTATATAAACATTTTGGTTTCAAAAGTGTATATATTTTTTCAATCATTCCTGACTTCTTGCATTTTCATTTTCTAACTTTTATTTTATAAATGATATATATTTCATCTAGAGAATTTCAAGAAAAAATAATTCTAAGGCTACTGATGATAAGTATTTTCCAATACCAAACATAAGTGTATGGTTAGCCAAAAATTCAATTAGTTATAATAATAAAAAAAAAATTTTGTTGTTGTAATTCACTACTGTTCGACACTTCTCCATTAATTACAATGCTTTCTTCACTTTAAAATGCAATTTAATAAATCATTTATATCAACAAACTATTTCAATTATAGTCCATTTATTTAAAAAAGTATATATATATATATATTTAACATATTCTTATTTAGACGATTTTTCTACATTGGAAAAAATAATCTGTAATGTTTGTTTGGTGGAAGGTCCAAATGCATATACTCCGAGTCTTCGCAGTCGAAGAAGATGCAGATTATATATTTTAAATAATAATTTTTCTTTAAATGCTTTAGATAAAAGAATGACAGCAAAATTTGTTTTTGTTTGGTCATTATGGTCAGTAGTCAGAAAAGCTATTAAAATATGGTCGTAATGTCGGTATATATCGTTATACCGATGTCGCTATAAAAGTTATAAATTTGACAAATTTGACTTCGGGAAACGGTTCTTAAATACAATTAGTTGTTGTTATGGTAATCTGCTGGGATGTAAAAGCAGATTACATGAAAGGATTTGCAAGACGAATACTTGGTTTAGGATGTGCATGGGTGATGGTAAATGCGATTGCACATTATATTAGGTATCAATATCTACTATATTATATGTACGTACTCAATCTATTCGCAAACAAGTTTCTATTCTTTTATTTTGCGCCATTATATCTTTCATCTCAATATATTTTTTGATCGTCCAAGGTTTATTCTATCCTTACAAGGGTGTAAGTTTTTGCATCTCAGCAAAAATAAATTAAAAACTGTTGTGTCGACCTTGTTATTGGTGTGGTACTAGGTGCCTAGCATGTGGCAATCCCGGTATGCTCGCCATTGTAACTATTTTAATCGTTTTTACGGATATTTTTAGCTCCCTAAATATTTTATATAGAGGTTCACTCTATTTTTCTTATTGAAAAATAGGAAAATTACAAATATGTAAATAATAATACAATACAAAATATTGTAAATAATCTAAAAATTTGTATTTCTTTATTCTTTTTTAGTTTTACCAATTAAAAATAAATGTTATATAAAATAAAATATAATAAACTATAAATTTCTAGAAAATGTTTCATATGTTATTTATTTAAATTAACCAACTTAAATTTTACTAATCTTTAAATATATAAACATAATGTCTTTTTAAAATTATTTTCTTATTTTATTTGCAGTGTTTAAGTCAGAAAAATCTTCAAGGTAAAACATAATCAGATTTACTCGTGAAGATGACAACAGCATGTCACAAATCCGAAAATCAGCTTCTTTCCGGTCAAGGATACCAGTAAGACGAACACGCCTAACACACCAACGGTGCTGCAGTCCTCATATGCATGACTTCGAAAGCACAACCCAAAGAAACTTGCAGTTGAGAACCAATAGTAGTTTTGCATTCGAGAAGAATTCAGTGGGCAGTAAGCAACATTTTCATATTCACAGCAATAAGAAAAATTGTTCTTGTTGCGTTAACGATCTCGAATATTCCTCCTATTCTAGTAGTGATGAAAGTTATGAATCTGAAGATACTCATGAGGTAAAAAATATTTATAAAAACAAAAAAAAATTGTATTTAATGTAATTATTAATATATCTTATTTTTCGTTATTAAAGAAAACAGTAAAACAAAATATAATACATCCGATAGATGATTTTATGTACGTATCAACAGATGCTATATCTCTTGATGGTTTGTTGGATACTGTAAGCTGTGGAAGTAATTTTTCTAATCCGCCTTCTCCAGTTGAATATAAGAGTAAATTAGTTCTTTTATATTTCATTCATCTTATTAATATTATTAACTAAATTTTCTTTTAGATGCGAAAACGCAATTAAATCACAATTTGTCATCATATGAATCCTTAGATAAATTTAAACTTAATGATGATCTAATGAATTTAGATAACTCATTTAAGTTTAATAAAATACAGAAAAAAATAAAAAACAATTCAAGTTAGTATTTTCAAAAAATTCAATTGAGCATGTATTTGAATATATCTACATGACTAATCATAGCCAATAATCACCCTTCACCGATTCTCTTAAATTGCTTTTAATTGGCTTGATAAATTATTTAATTATTGAACCAAGGCAGTCTGATGATTATTATATGTGTAATACTTATAGTTAGAATTGAAAAAAAATATAAAAATATTTTTTTGAAGAAGTGCATATATATGATATATAATTTAGAATCAACAATAGTTCCTTAATTTTTAAATTAGATGCACGTCGGTATATATTAAATAGTATAAATAATTTTTAACACTTTCATAAAAGTCCTGTATCGCCTGTAAATTTTTCTTAATCGTAACAACACTTAAAACCAGAATTTCTCAATACTTGGTCCATGAACTGTTACTGGTTTATATCATTAGCAACACCGCTCCATAACATATAATATTTTCGTTTATGGAGATATTATTTTTTAAAAAGATATGGGGTTTCAAAACATGGAGTTTATTTTATAATTTTTGAGTTATTACGTCGAAAATATTTTAAAGTGGGTTCTAATATTAAGAATTCTCTTGATGAAGGCAAAAGCGAACTTGCCGAAATGCGTATAGAAATATACTAAAAATAATGAACGAAATAAAAGCTCAAATTCTTAAAAACAAAACCGACATTAAATATATTTCTAGTCCGTAGTACGTTTTGTGTTAAAAAACGCTACTTTAGACAACCCTTTACTAACAACTAATATCCTTTATTATAACATGTTTAGTTAAGTTTGATCAAATGACACTATATATATATAACACTATATATATAGCTTTTTCATATTTAGATATAAGATCGTATCTTTGCATAAGTTGAGAAAAAGTTAAGAAAATAATTTCAGATATATTATCGAAGCAGATTATCCTTAATATATAATTCCTTAATATTATTTATTAAAGTAATTAAACCAGCAATCCAGTCAAGGCGTAGAGAAGGGTTCTAAAGAAACCTCGCAGTCAATAGAGAGTAAAAGTGCTTAAGTGTACTGACATAAACCAGCAATGGAACATTTATTTTGGTAATGACTTTAGTTATATGAGTTTACACAATGTAAGAAACTTTATCACTAAAACCACATCTTAGGAATGAATGAAGAAGATTGCCACACACCGCAATGCATATACTTCCTACTAGTAATTAAGAGGGCGAAATTTAGTTAATAGTTTTAATACGAGTACTTAGAGGTTTAGGTTTATCTAAGCAAGCAGGTTTACAAAATTGTCAACTTTGTTCTACTTGTAGGCCCATGCATATGATGTTATAAGTATGCTATGTGTGAAGCAATACAAGGAAAAGAAATCACTAACAAATTCAAATTTATAACCAGATTTATACACAGATTAACTAAACAGAACGTTTACGTAAGGACACTATATTTAATAATATTTTATATATTTTTTATATATATAATAATTTTTTTATAGCTAAAAAATTGGAAAAGGATCATTACTAGTTTAAAATTACAAAATATTTTGTTAAATTAATAGATCAATTATGGTTCCTAATATTTTCATTTTTGAAGTGTTAGAAATTGTCATAATATTCTTTTATGTATTGGTTTTGTAAGCATATTAGGAAGTAAAAGGTATTACCCTTTCAGAGACCAGTAACTACCGCTTTTGTCAAATGAATGTTGAAATTTCTGAACATATTCTCTGTGTATATTGTAATTTAAGTAGGAGCAGCATTTTTACCTATCTGAGGGCCAGACTTATTGCTCCTCTAGAACATATAGAACAATATAAAATTGTTAAAGCTCCTAAAAGCCTAAGGGTACGAAACGGAATAGTAAAACTGCTGGTGTTAACATAACAGACCGTCTATATAGTATTCCTTACTTTAATATTTACTTTAATATATAATAATATATATAATATATAATACAAAGTGGAGTACGGAATTCGCTGATAATTTTATATTTCAATAAATTACAACTGAAACGAAAAATATACAAATTAATTTCAATTTAATATATACAGTTTATATACATACAATGCTCAATTTAGTTGAAATATACATAAAATAGTAACAGTCAAAGTACCAATTAAGAGCTCTATAAAGCAAAAAGAAACGAAGCAATAATTAATTTGTCAACCAATTTCTCAAACAACGAAAGTACCAACGAAGAGCTCCATAAATCAAAAAAAGAAGCAATAGTCAATTTGCCAGCTAACCCTACTAAAAATAAATAGTAAATAAATCACAAAAAATAAAAAGCTAAAGATTAATTTGAAAAAATTATGAATTGAAAAGCTCATTGCTATAGGTATATACTTCCTTTTAAATTTAAATATGTAATTAGTGCCAATAATCACAATAAAAAATTTTAAATTATTTTTGAAAAATAATTTTTTTTTGCATATTTTACATGCTTATTTTGATATTTACAATTGCTATTGTATTTGAACCAAGTTCTAAATACTCATATGAAATGATAAAATACATAATAACCTGCTGAATACGACAATTGTACGAACTTATAAAAACAATAAATAAATTTTAATTTAATTACAATGCTATATTTATACATAGTATAATTTACATAAACAAAATAAACTGGAATATGAAATGTTGTTCTTTGTAGATTCTAACGAAAAACCACAACAGCAGTTCACCCGTCAAACTCATTCGAATGCAACACAATCCGTCATGGCCTCAGAAGAATTGAAGCAGAACTATAACGAAAAGCAGAGACAGTTAAGTGACTGGTATTATATAAAATCTAAAAATGTATCTACGGATGATGTAACGAATGCTCATAAGCCACTTGATAAATCAAATGGCAATAATTTGAGTTCCCCAATTACAAGTAGATGCGAGAATAATCGCATTAGAAGTGCTGGTATCAAATATATGACGCCAGTAACGTCAACCAGCCATGCACAGTCATTACCCAGGTCAAGTAGTGGCAGTGCAACCCCAAGTTCCAGTAAAAAATGGAATAATTTTGATGCATTGCACAGTTACGAAAACGTGCGAATACCAAAAATTGATGATGTGTACAATATACCGCGAGATGCGATTGACCGCAGAGCTGTTGGAAGCACTGCAGGTGTTAATATGCTTGCGAGTGATAAAGGCGATGCAAGGTGCAATGTTAATTCCTCGTTACCGCGTGAATATGTTAATTTGAAATCAAAGCTTAAAACTCCACCGTATCAGTGTCCACCCGACTACAACAATCCTCCAACATATGACATAATTGAGCAACAACAAACGCGCAACGTACTAAAGCAACAGCACATGAACTCGCTCAACATTGAACCAGAAACAGATGCCTTAAGCAAGGTTAATGTAAAATTATTAAAGCAACAATACCAACAGCAGCAACAACACAAAACACCAACCACGACACAAATTTTAAATACACAGACTGAATATGCGAATACACAACCAAGTAGTGGACGGCGCGGGGCGGATTGCAGCAGTAAGTACAACAACAACATCGTTGAATTGCAATTACGGCATTGGGAAAATATAAGTAGTAATGGTGTAAATAACCAAAATAGAATGCTTGACAATCTGACATTGTTGTCCTGTCATGAGCAGCAGCAACAAAGACAACAATTACAGCAACAGCAACAGCAGCAGCAGCAGCAGGACCAACAGCAGCAGCAACAACTACACTCACGGTTTCGAAATAATCCTAACAATTGCGGTGATGGCGCAGTTGTGAACAAGTACAATAGCAACGATTATATAGAGCTAAAACAACAACCAAATTGTAATGAGTTAAATGTATATCGCACACAGCAAAATCAAGCTCCTCCAAACGCCCAACATCAGACTCATCCACTACGAATCAATAATCAACGTTCCGAAATAGAACAAAGCGCAGACAATGCACAGGAACAGCCCACTGCAGCGCCACGTCGTTTTGCACTACCATTAACTGCAACTCCACGTCCTGCACTCAGATCAACACTTTTACAAAAACGGCCAGACGAGACGAGTTGCAGCAGTTTTGAGCAATTAAATCTCATAGGACCGCCAGGGGAAATTGCATGCGATAACAATACCATAGAGAAATGTAAAGTGAATGCACGGATTGGCAGTCAGGCACGAAATCCACAGACTAACCAAAATACACAAAAATATGTCCTTGATAATCAGAAGCATATAGCTACCGATGATAAACAAGTGAAGGCTGAGGGTGAGCATACAGGTTCTTCCGCGGAAAGTAAAGAAATTGTTATGGATGCCTCAAAGCAACATTACGGCAACATAAATCGTTTGCAAATTAATGAGAATAAAAGGTCGGATGGCACTTTAAATGGAATACAACAAATGCATGGTGATCAGACACGGTCCCCGATTTTACATCGACCCAGCCTAGTACGTGGTGGTTCGAGCCATGAAATCGGAACGAAACAATTTGATGGCACAGTTCAAAAGCAAAAACAACAAATTCAAATGCAACTACAACAAAATCCCCTGACAAAGCAATTGTTTGGAGTAGTTCAAAAAGAGGTAAGTACATGGATTATATCTTAAAGTGGATATTTAAAAGACTGTTATGTACTCGTATGATTGAAATATAATAAAATGTGTTGTTACATACATACATTTCGTGGCAGCATTATTAGAAATTTATTTGTCAGATTATAGGATAACTGAAACGCTTATTATTAGTCTAGTAAAAATAATTTTCATACATAAATTTGTCGTTAAATGAAAACCCATAATATAACTAACGAAGTTATTTCTAGAGGTTCTCCGTAGTCAAATTATAACTTTTGATTAACACAATTTCAATTCCTTATAAGCGTTTATCCATTGAAAGGAACATAAAATACCTAAAATAATTGCTGCCATTAAGAGCAACTAGCTTCATTCCTAAGCCATTACTCTAATGTGACTCCTACGCCCTACACAATTGTTTGGCCTTCCTTCCTTCCTTGATGCCATCCTACCAAAAAAAGTAATGTAATACACTAAACGGGGTCACCTTTGTTTAAACGTTTCGGTACGCTTTGTGTTCATTCGAATCACGAACGAAGAACGCGGCCTGCTCCCTCCCTCCAAGTGGACAGCAGCCGCAAATTTGACATTACACACGCAGTAACGAGATGAAATGTGTGAAGAATATTGTGTTCCGACCCTGAGTTTATATATCAGAGAGAAGAGTTATGAAAGTATTATATCCATACTTCGTTAAGTTCTCTCTTCGTATGCGCTTAGCGAGGACCTACAGTCTGCGCAGTACAACTCTCATCTCATAGTAATACGGACAAATACGATTGTTTACTTACCGGCAGTGAGTGTATGTTGTATCGTCTGTGGGATGTTTTGTATTATTTCTTTCAAAACCATAGGTTCAACAGGCGTTCAGTTGGAAATTAGCCATACAAGTGTTCGGTTATCTAATATTTCTTATATGCACATACATCGACAATTTTAGAAGTTTAAAAAGTTAAGACTTGAAAACTGTTTTAATAAAGGTTTTTAATGATATAACAATTTTTTCCACATAAATTTGTTGAACACTCGATATAGCTCACTGGAAAGAAATATATTTGAGGTATGTATATATTGTTTACTTTTTGTTTTTGAACTTTTAAAATACTAATTTTATATTAAATACTATTAATTATTTTCTTTATATAAGTGATTGATTTCTTTTAATTTATCTAATGATAACAGTCAAAACTTTGAGAAAGAAAATGCGAGAGATAGAATCTCTTTGGATAATGAAAAATGTTTATATTATTAGATTTTTACTAATTTTTGTTTTGAGTTGTAAGGAAGGAAACTCTAACGATTTTGTATCCCAAAATTTTAATATTATATAAGGGTTTAAAAATGCGAAAGAGACGAAAAAATATTCAGTATACAAATCAGACTATTCAGATTAACTATTTTTGAGATATCAAGGAGATATCTTGAATACATACTTTGTCTAATAGAGTTTCGTTTGGCATTGTATTACTCGGTAAATATTAAATATACAAGTATATCCCTTCGTATACGAGTCTATCTCGAACCAATGAAATACCTTACAAATTTTAAAGCAGACTGATACGAAATATCCTGTATATATCTTAAGTCACTTTTTTTATAAGGAAACATCATATCAAAGGTTTTTTCCAGAAAATATTTCTTATTTGTTCCAATTTTAATAACAGTTACTTTCTTTCCGGTTTATTTTTTTTTTCACTTCTACTGTTGTTGTTGTTACTGCAAATATTTTTTCTATTGTTGTTGTTATGTACGGGTTATGCGTAATAACGAATGTCAATTAATGCGAAGATCACCTGAGACTTCTCAATTTATTGTTTTTCTTTCGAGTTTTGATTAATTTAAATCTATTTATTAACTTCTGAGTTATGCTTATAATCTATGAGTTTATTACCTCAAAGTATCTGTTATAAATAACATTAAGCAATTCAATTTCTATAACTCTAAATACCCAATATCTTTTATAATTCTGCAATATAAAGTATTAATTATGTATTAAATAATATAAATTACATATTAAAATCAGTAGCTTGTGTAATACCATGTTTCCACTGGTCTCATTTAAACGGAGACTAGGGCAGAGCCGTTGGTCATTAAGGCTGCTAATGAGGATAATTAACCACACAAAGAGGTTGCATAAAAATGAGCTCATTATAAATAAATCAACTCATTTGAGACGAAAAATATCAAATGCAAAATTAAAAATAAATTTCCTAGACATGAAATTCCCAAAAATTGCAATATTTGTCACATGTTTTATATGTAAAATATAAACAAACACGTTATTTAACATTTATAAATTAGCTTATACCAATAGAAACGACCAAGTCTTAATTTTATTAATATAAGTAATTTTAGCTACAGCGGATATAATGTGTTTAGAAGGGTGTTTAGAAGGTTGTTCTAACTATTAAAGTTTTTTATATTTTTATTTAATGTAAAAAATATAGTTTAAAATATTTTTCTGAATAAAATAGAACATAAATAAAATTTATTAACTATTATACATTTATGTTATAAATGCCTCTCGTTGGTTCTAGCTTGAATGTCTCTTTACTACCTATTATTACGAGAATTTGTGGATTTAACACGACTTTCTTAGCTAATTGACGAGGATTTGTTCCTCCATCCACCACAACTAACTATCAAACATAACTTTAAGTTTTAATTTAAAATCTTTTATTTTAAATATCCTTTATCATTTATTTTAAATATTTTATTCACTAAAGCTCGCTTAAATACATTAATATAAAATATTTTACTTTCAAAAAAATTTTGATAACAGTTTTTTTATATCTTAAGGATTCAGTATTATTTCGGATTTTTTTTTATTTGGTTTAAAATAAAAAATAATTCATTTTATGTTTATAGTTCAATTTATTTGTATATTTACAATGAAATATTTTTCTAAATCAAAAGAATATTATTAAAAAATATTAAATATTATGTCTTTATGTTTAAATTATAAATATTTTCTTCACTAAAACCCATTTAAATTCATTAATACAAAACCATTAAAATTTTTAATGGTTTAAATAAAAAAATTTAAATAAATAATTTAAATAAATTTTTATAAAATTTTGATAAGAATTCTTATATATCCTTAAGGATTAGGTATTATTCTGAATGACATTGTTTTTTTTTTTTGTATATTGTTTTAAAAATATAGTCTAAAATAATTCTTTTCATCTATTCATTTCAATTCATTTAGTGTTTTTATTAATATGAAATATTTACCTAATTAAAAAAAAATATGATTAAAAAATGTTATGATATGTGATAATAATATCACATTATAATATGTTATTAAAATAATAGTATTCTCACTAGCGCCTTTCTTTTATTCATTAATGTTAATATTTTGTGTTTATAAAAATGTTGATAATAATTTTGAATATCCTTAAGGATATTTATTTGATCTTAAAAATATAGTCTAAAATAATTCTTTTCATCTATTCATTTCAATTCATTTAGTGTTTTTATTAATATGAAATATTTACCTAATTAAAAAAAAATATGATTAAAAAATGTTATGATATGTGATAATAATATCACATTATAATATGTTATTAAAATAATAAATAAATAAAATAATATATAATATAATATTATAATAATAAATATTTTCTTTACTAGTGCCCATTTATTTATTTATTATTTATTTATTTATAATAAATATTTTTCCTTTACAAAAATTTGTGATATTGATAAGAATTTTTAAATATCCTTAAGGATTCAGTATTATTATGAAGGATATTTTTTTTTATTTGGTCTTAAAAATATATTCTAAAGAAATTCATTTCATCTATCATTTAAATTAAGTTTTTGTTAATATGAAATATAATTCTAATTAAAAAAAAATTATGATTAAAAAATATTATGATAAGTGATAATATCACATTAAATATGATATTAAAATAATAATTTAATATAATAATAAATTAATATTTTAATAATAATATAATATAATAATAATATAATATTTTAATAATAATATAATATAATATAATAATAATAATAATAATAGTTTCTTCACTAAAGCCCATTTATTCTTTATTCATCAATATTAAATATTTTTCCTTTATAAAAATTTTGATAAGAATTATTGGATGTCCTTAAGGATTCAGTATTATCAGTTTATCATTCAAAATATTTACAAAGGTTTTATTTGGCAAAGTGTTGCGTTTGTTTGTTGCTATTGTGCAACTGCGTTCGTTGTTTGGATTCACACTTGTTTGCCTTAGAGTAGTCCTGATAAGATTCCTTATTGATAAATGTTTTTGTGTCCTCGTGTGCCGGTTTGTTATCAACAAACCGTTGCTCTTTTCAAACGTTTTATAAGAGTACAACAGCATCTTTTAACGAGACAACTCGTATAACATTGCTACTGGTATAAGAGTCTGTGTCGTGGTTTCGTTAAATATTTTGTATCTTAGAGATACATCTTTTGGAGTATAGATTCAGTTAAAACTTAGAGCTCGGATACTTTACTTCGGTTTTTTATGGTGCACGGATAATTTCTTTTCCAAATAAAATCTATCTCCTGTTCTTAATCTTTTTTACACCATAAAAATTAATGCACCATAAATAAAGTTAATAAATTTAAGTTGTGTAGTTGTTGTTCGGTGGTTAAAAGTGCAAAAAGTTTTACTATTTGTGAGATATTAAATGCGAAACTCAACGGTTCTGTGGTAGATTTTATTAAACAAAAAGTTCAATAAGTAATGCAAGAGATGTTTGTGCAAAATTGCAGACTTTGTGGAAAGGACATTTTTTTTTAGAGACTCAAACACATCAAAGGAATTTAATATTAATACTAAAAGCTTAACAAATAATCGAAGCAAATTAGTTTAGAAAAGAGTTTAGTTTGTGGCTGTATCTGTGTGTGGCTGCGTTTTCGCATACATACAAAGAAAATTTTTATTGTAGTTGATCCCCACTTAAATGCAATTGTTTTGGATTTATATTTTAACTATGTGGGTGACTTGTGGTGCATTTACAATTGTACTCCTGCCATATGGAAGCTCTTCCTTAGCTCTGCTGCAGGAGCAAATATTTGAAAATGTTAAATGGAAGCAATTCTTGAAAAAGAAACTAGTCTAACGAAGGACATATTATTTATAACTGCTGCTCTTGTCCTTTTTCATGGCAATGTACTTATTGCATTCGATGGGAGATGCAAGTATCCTTCAACTGTGAAATTGAAAAATTTTTCTCCTCCTTTCACCAAGTACTAATGTATTATGTTATACTTATTACTTAATTCATATCGCTGCATTACATCCATCGTCAAGTATCGTATGTAGTGAAATATTCCAAATATTCCAAATATTAATGTAATGAATAATGAATAATGAATAAAGAATTTTTTTTTTGTGTGAAACTGTTGAAAATATTTTTAATGAAATATTTGCAACATTCATGAAAGTTTCGAATATTCAAATTTTATTTTTAAACAAAAATAAATTGTGTCAAATTTTGTGAAGTGAATTTGAAATGCATAACAGCAATTTGCTTAATTTTATGGCGCTGCCAGCGAAAGTATAAAGTATCTTGATGGTCCTTTAAACTGAATTTCAAAATTTATGTCTTTGTAGCATCTCATACTTTGCATCTCTTTGAATCGCAGAAACCTTACCATCCTTACCTTCCCTTTATCTGCTGATATATTCCATGTGGTCCGTTTAAATATAATTTTTGTACATGCAGCATAAATATTTTATATCGCAAATGTGCGTGCGTGCTCTCGAAGCGCCTGCACAAACCCATAAACCCACAAAATCTACAAAATCTACATTTACTCAATTTAATTCGTAAATAAAAAGAAGCACGAAACACAAAGGATTCACATGCATCACAAATTATTTTCCACAGAAGAGTATCCAGCGCACAGCTTCAACGCACTAAGCCCAGCCATATTGTTTCAAATATTTCGCATCTACAAAATACAAAAAACAAAACAATGCCACATTGAGTTCGAGTTTGAATCTATTTGAGTCTGAATCTGTATCTGTATCTATAGCTGTAGCTGTAGCTGTAGCTGTAGCTGTAGATGTTGCTGTATCTGAAACTGAATGCAAATACGAATTTGCATTAAATTATTTTGCACGAAATGCAAGCAAAAATTATAATTTTTATGTGTCGTGGGCAAAACAAAAGGATTTGGTTTGCTTAAAGCGTTTGTGTAAATCCGCACATATTTTAACATTTTTATAATTCAATTAAGCCATATTTCATGTTTTTGCATTTAAGATACTAAGGATTGAATTGGAATTGTGTGTGAGTGCAAATATTTGTTTTGGACTTTATGGTCCAACTATTTTGCACTTAACATGATTAATTGACGGAGTCAAAGTTCGAGCCAATATGAAGTAATTAATTACGAATGTTTTGTTATTAATGATATAAAATTTAATTGACTGCCGAAGTACACATAACGCCAATATAGGTTGCCCTCTCTCAGTGTTTGGTTGCCCTCGTAGGGAGCAACCTACAACTAAAATACAAAAACCGCAGACATGGCCACTTGAGCCCGAGTTACCGCTTGAGTCTCAATGGGCTGACGGTGTTACGGAAGGCTATTGGGATCAAGGTGGTCCATGGGTATGTTGAAACATATATAAATTAAAAACAAAATAATTAAATAACATTATTTTTTGATAATAAAATAAATCACCTAATAAATTTGATTTAAAAACTATTAGTATAAAATTTTTAACTAAATTTATAATAAGCATATGTGTATTAATTTTTGATTTTAAATTTATATATTACTACTTTATAATATAAAATAATGACACAGTGATTTCTAGTAACGAACTCAGTTTGTAGGGATTCCAATGCAAAAAAAAATAATTTTCTTAAAGAAATATATTTTCCCACTTCAAAATGTAGAATGATATAGCAGGATATAATATCACCATCAATATGGCATGGTATATATATATCATACCATAATAATGGACTTAATGATAGCAACAAGTCTGCCATAAGATAAGAATATTTGAGGTAATGAGTCCCAGTGAAGCAGAGTACTGCAATTATATATGGCATATATACACCATACCATAATAATGGGCTGGATGATAGCAACAAATCTGTTATAAGATAAGAACACTCGAGATAATGGGTCCCAGTGAAGCAGAGTACTGCAATTATATATGGCATATATACACCATACCATAATAATGGACTTGCTGATAGCAACAAATCGGTTATAAGATAAGAACACTCGAGATAATGGGTCCCAGTGAAGCAGAGTACTGCATTCATATATGGTATACCTTACCATATTGATGGACTATATGATAGCAACAAGTCTATATATGAGTTAAGTTAGTTAGCTCTAAGTCTAGTTAGTCTACAAGCTTAGAATATTTGAATATATTTGAATATATAATGTGTATTTGAATATAATATATTGAATATATAAGAATATATTTAAAAGATTCTGTTAACCGACTCTAACTGAACACTCCGCCCTTTGATTAAGCGCTAAATGTTAGATATTAAGGGCATCCTAATATCAGATGGTGATAGAAAGACCTCATTTATTAACCTTCTCTTGGCCTAAATCAAAGACAGTCACAAAAAATATGACTAGAAGTTTCATTCGCTTACAAGCAAGGTCCACATTCTAACACTTCTGATAGGCCTATCTTGTCGAATTAGTAATGCAGATCATGGTACAATATTACAATTACCTGTCAATAAGCTCAGTTCCATTCCTCTCAGAAGACACGAACTATCGCGGGGCGTAGTGAATAACCAGCTTTTTAGCTGGTCTGTTACTTTTTTTAATTACAAATTACTTGTTCATGAAAAACCTCATTGTGAATCAACTTAGTTCACCATAGTTTATATTAAATTATAATACTATATTACTATTATATTAATATATTACTATTATATTACTATTTTACTATTTATAATTGAATGCTAAGTGCTATTTCGAATTGGTAATTTCTCCGATCAGTTACGAATACATATTCATGAAAAGGGCATTCTATATGCCTTACTTGAGACATGTAGATTTAAAAATTAGATTGAGATATTTTATAAAACGTTTATAAGTATCCCGAGCTCGCTATATCTTATCGCCATGTCTTGCTTTTTAAATGATATTTCTTTGGTTTTAACATTATGATTGCGGAGCTTTAGCGCTCATCTACAATAACTTATCGAAAAATTTTACCATTTTCGCTTTGATGGATTTGTTAACCGTGATAACTAATAGGTCAGTGTAAAATCTGTATTTTTGGTGTTCATGACTTCGATGATTCCTTTTGATATTTATGTATTTCATCTGTGGTAAATTTGGCAGCTATAGCTTGAATTTGTTTAAAAACGACTATTTGATTATGTGCTTATAGATAAATAATCGATTTCTATACTTATCTTATAATAATTTAGAAGCCATCAAAAAATTATATATTAACTCTGATTTGATTTTTGGTAGACCAGCTCGCATAATCTCACGGATATCCCATGTGAATTCTGCATGATGTATTTGGTTATAAATAATATAACGCAAATCAAGAGTTTATCACTACTATTAAATAGTTGTGGGTATCGAACTATACTTAATTAATGTTATTATACAATTTAATTATTTTATTAGGCGTTAAGTGAATATTTATATATTATATATATATATTATATATCTTACAAAATATGAAAACAATGGTGTATAACAAGGTATATGTATAACCTTGTTATACACGCTAACGTGATTGTTAGGTGCACCTAAAAGCATTGTTCAGTAAAATAAGAATTCTTAGTTAGTGCTAAATCTCTTTTTTTTAATAATATATTTGTTAAGATAAAAAATTTTATGGTTTTTAAAACAACTATGGAGCATCAGATCATTGGTGAATCAATTGTACGTTACAATATAAGTATTTGTCAGAATAAATAGACGTGTATACCTTGATGATATTTCGAAAGAATATAATTTTATTATACGTTCCCGATTCTTGCAATCTTTTCATATTCAGTCTATATTTATATTTATTAATACGATACAAAACTGTTCAGAAAGCTCAATTTATAATTTAATTCTAATTTAATTTGTCTCCTGTGTTAATTAATGTGCTTGATAAAATCCTTATTAAGGCTTTTTAATTTAAACAATAGGTGACTGACTTGATTTTATCTAAGCCTATTAATTGCTTTAATGAGTAGCTTTAAATGGATTATAAACATCAGCAATAAATGTATTATTCCATTCCATCCTATCCGTAGATGGATGTTTTTGCTTGCTATAATTATTATCAGAAGAGCAGTGGCAATTTATGATCTATAAAATCTATTGTAATAGCCCTGAGGAAAGGTTTTTAAACTAACATGGACTAATTAAGGCTATCTTATAAACGTAACAAAGGCTCCTCTTGATTCTAAGTCCCATACTTCATCGGTTTAATGAAAGTCAATTGAAGTTACTAAGCTCATCTCCTGACAAACTCAGGGTTCGAGCTGATAAAATGAGCGGAAGTTCCATTCAGCATTTCACAGTATCTGTGTCCCTAAGTCTCATCTTTAGAAAGTGGTAGTTATAGGGGCATTTCCAATTGAGAATGTCCAGTGATTAATTTGAGTTCATATCTATTTATTCATGATATTTGTTCCATTGAATTTAAGTGTTATGTCATATGCATCATCGTTTTATTATTTTAAACTTTTTAAATTCCTGTTGTAAGCAGCTTTAAACTGTGTACATGATCTCCTCTATCGATTCAATTTGTTTACACAAATTATATTTATCTACGAGTACATATTTTTTTAGATATTTACAAAATTATATAAAAATTAATTTTAAATAAAATTTTATTTTTAAAAGGTGTTCCAACCAAAAACTTCACTTCCCGTGTACAGAAGTGAATGTGAGTTGTCAGGTTCTTATGCTTCGCTCGAATGTCCTTCACCACCGGGGCCACCAATATGTCTTCCGGAAACTCAAAGAGATCCACAGGTATAAAAGCTAATGCAAGAACTAGCATGAATTAAATTAATTGTTTTAATTTAGGCACGGCTTAGTAATTATTTAAGAAATCTTTATCAAGAACTAAGTTTTAAAGAGCCTGTAATTCCACCCTGGGCAATACCTATTCAACCGGGTGCCTTATGCAGTGCACGTCTTGAACCAGATTTGCGTCTCAGTTTAAATTCGCATGGTTTTAGTGATTCTTTGACAGTTGACCAGATTTTGGTGTCTTTACAGGTAATTAAAAATGTTTACAGGTAAATTTAATATTTACTTACATACACAATAAAAATAATTTCAGACAAAAGAAGGAACTTTTCTAGAGGCACCACGAAGATGCTTAATTGAATGCCCTACTTGGGCATCACGAAGTAATCTTTGTTTAAGAATTTTGTATGCTTGGGCGAAGGAACCACCATGGCCGCAAAAAGGTACGCCCGTAGCGCTAACCTTATTTATTCCACTCAATGAATTGAAACGTAGTTTTGCTCATTACTTGGAAAAGGTAATTTAATTTTTAAAAACTCTAAATTAATAAAATGTGAAACAAAATGTGTTTTCTATTAGGAGATATTGCCGAAAGGATCTCTCAATCCCTTTACGAGTGGAGTTGGTGGTTTTAGTGCAGCATGGAACTCATTGGAATCGCTTGGGCCAAAATTGTTGATTATTTTAGATGGCTACGGCCAAAGCAATCAGAAATCTGGTAACGCTAGTGCTAATATTGTGGTAACTCCGAAGAAAAATAAAAATGGTAGTTTTACCGCTTGCGCAACTGCAAAACATTATCCTTCAGATGTATACGATTTACTTGATGGTAGATTATTTCCTGAAGCAAGAGTTATTATAACTACATATTCATCTAGCTGCATGGAATTAATGCCTATTGTTCAGCGACATATTGTTTATGAAGGTTTAACATGGGGTAGATCAGTTTCGATTTTGGAAGGCGGGCAGTGGGGTGGTCCATCCAGAATGTTAGATGCAATTCAGGAAAGTCCTCATTTACGTAAAGCAATTAAAACACCGCTTGGCTGCTTGGCAGTGGCTTCAATTTTTGATGCACACGGTGGTGACTTGCCTATTGATGAATTGGACGTAGTCGAATCAATTATGAATTGTGTGGTCCCCGGTGCTTCATCTGCTGTGGTGTCTGAATTAGGTAGATTGGCTTTATTTTGTATAAAAATGAAACGTACTTGTTTGACCATGAATGAGATTAAAATGTATTGCTCAACTCCTGATCATATAATGGGTTGTTTAGATAAATGTGTTTTATATGGAAAAACAGCTAAAAAGAAAGCTGAGTATGTATTTAATCCAATATGCACTGGAATGATGGAGTTTTTAGCAGCTAATTATATTGCGTCATTGGTATCTCGCCCGGGTCTTTTGGCAGCCGAAATTACAGGTATGGCTATTGGAGATGAGTTAGATCCAGAATTATTAAAAGTATTAAAGTTTGCAATGGCACTACTTGGCGAACGCGCACATATCCTCTTATCAAGATTGACACCATTATGGCTATCACCACAAACTGTATTTACTCTAGCTTTGGCTGGTGGATATAGTGAAGCGAATATAGCAGCTCTATGTGATATTCTTGGCATATCGAAGCATCCACCTATATCTCCATTAGAAACGAAACCCTTGTGGGTACAAGTACGCTCTGTTCCCACAGATTTAATGGGTTGGGGTATGGCGTTAAAAAGTTCTACGTGCACGCTCAAAAATTTGGAAGTTATATATCAATTAGAAAAACAAAATCTTACAGAATCAAGAAAAGCTATTGATATATTTTTGGATTCAATAGCTTTAAATGAAAGTGTTTCAACACTACGTTTATCATCTCTTATAGAAATGGATGTGAAGGATACTGAAATCACATTTTTGGGAAATTGTGTGTCGAGGCTTTTACTTAAACCACGTTTGGAACACTTTGAGCTAGTTTTAACACTTATCGAAGAGGATCCACCAATGTTAAAATTGCAGCCAGTTGTTGCAGCTTTATGTAGAACAATTCCACGGCAACCGAAATTAAATTCATTGCTATTAGATTTAGGTTTAAGCACATCTCAACTAGTGCAATTGTGTACCGGGCTTGAAAAGTGTGCTAATATAACGAGAATTTCATTGCCACATTTACGTTGTGAACGCGGAGCCATTTCGGCTTTATCAGCTTTACTTAATACTAAGCCTATTAGCTTTCTTTCTTTACCATCTTGTTGGGGAGCACGAGATGATCCGCCATCATCTAGTGGCGTTAGTATGGGTAAGTGAAAGTTCACTATATTATTTGTATGTTAATTAATAAATATTTTTTACAGGTTCAGGAAGTGGCAGTAGCACAGGTAACTCTTGTCTGATTAAGCAAGGTTCTTTACCTGGGGTACCTTCACCGAAATCATATGCTCCAGGTATATTCTCATCATTGCCACGGGGTGTATTTGTACCACAATCGTCAATTGGACGTTCAGCGACCTTGCCACGACAACCTTTGGAGCAATCTGTCGAAAAGCGTTCATGTGATTCCGTTGTTTCTAAAATGTGGTATCCAACACCTGCTTGCGAAGGAGGTCCACATAATTCAGGCACACTGCACGATTTGTTCTTGGCTGTACGCGAATCAAATTCGAAATTGCATGGCTTAGATTTAAGTAAGGCACAATTGTCATTAGAAGATTCGATGTGTCTCGGAGAAACTGTTCGTCTTTCGCATACAATGCATACTCTGAAACTCGAGGGATCATCACGCATAAGTGAAATTTTACCATCTGTACTAGGTGCTAGTGAATCTCCATGTTTGCAGATGTTAAGTATTGGCTCACAACGTTTGAGTTTAGAAGATTCGGTAATTGTAATGTGTGCTAGAGCATTAACTAGCTGCTCCACTTTACGTCTGTTAAGTCTAGATGGTTGGTCATTCCGTATCGAAGTAAGTATTATAATCTATCTTATGGAAAATTAATTTCTTTAAAATTTTTTATTAAATATTTAGCATTTGCAAACACTTTCGATTATAAGAGCGTTTCTGTCGTTGACATCAATTCGAGAATTGAGTCTGGCCAATTGCCGTCTGCAAACGAATTTAGTTAAATTAGATACAAAAGTATCCCATATATTTGAGTCAAGATCAGTTGTTGTGCTGAAACTTGCTGGCGCTCAAATAATTTTACCAGATCAAAATGTTTTGCGTGGACCACAATTACTGCAATACATCGGTGGCTTTCCTTGCCTACGAGAATTAGATTTATCAGCACCAGCACGCTCTGGTGTAGACAGCACTCATTCATCTCCACTTATTTTGGATGATAAATGTATCGTGCAATTCTTTAATAATTTGCATACACACTTTGGGTAAAAGTTTTTTTAAAAATAATTAAGTTTTTGTATTATTCCTTATATATTGCTTTTGTTTTTGTTTGTTTTTAATATCAATCTAGATTGTTAAACACTTTAAAGATTTGCAATTGGATCATACATTTTGATGATTTCTCAAGAACAATTAAAGCTATTGCAAAATCTATTCGAAACAGTCCGATAAGCCATTTAAAACTGGATGGAATTTCTGTGTTGGATAGACCGAAAAAAACACGGAGTGAATCAGCTTTAATTAATTGTTTCATTTCATCCTTGCCCCACCTGCGTTGGATGGGAATAAGTTTATCCGGTAAAAAAGAGGATCAAATAACTGCCATTGGAAATGCTGTATTGGATTTAAAAGGAACTGAAATTGAAATAAAGTAAGTCTTACCAGTACACACCAATTGTGACATTATAATCCATTTTTATGTTTATATCGTTAAATTGCAGACTCAGTGAGTCAACAATAGAGCAAGCCAAACTCATGGCTCAGGCGATAAGCGTTGATGGAAAGTTCGATATAAAAGTTTCGACTTTTGGCACTTCAAGTGGTATTTTGATACATGCCGAAAAGTCGGGCATGAAGAGTCTTTCACGTAAAACAAAAGAAAAAAATCAGTATTTCTAAATTAAAACTACTCTCAACGAAATTTACTTTAAATAATTTAATTAAATTAAAATTAATTACATAAAAGTTTTAAATTAATATGTGAAGCATAAATGTGTTTAGAAAATTTATTGAATTAAACGGAAATTAATTAAAATTAATTTTGCTCGAAAAGACTGAAAGATAATTTATGTAGAGTTCATAGAGAAGAAATTATGAACAGAAGTTCGTATTTAATAAATATTTAAATATTCATTATGATAATGAAATAAAAATAAATGCAACAAAATTGTGTAATAAATGTTAATGTTTGAATTCTATTTAAACACACTTTAAAATTACGAATATATCTTGTTAATATTTGCAGATAAAATCTGCTCTTAATTTTTAAGTTTCGTTTTTATACATTTTTAATACAATTCATATATACTTATGAATACTAAATATTTTTAAATGTATTATCATAATTGTTGTAATTAACATGTTTTATGATATATAATATATATATACATACATACATATATATATATATATATATAAGTGCATATTTATATTGATGTTATTGTATTACTAAGTAATAAATTTTAGAACGAAATTTATCTTTACATATTTGAGTGTTGTTAGTTTAAAAATAAGAAATAAAAATGAAAATAAAAATAAAAATAAAAATTGTTAATAAATAAAATAATTAAGGCAAACTTATTCACCAAAATATATATAAAAATATATAAGGCATATTTAGAACATATGTTTAGTTTTAATGATGCTTATTTGAGATATATGTATGTGCTGTAGTTAGAATATTAAATAATAATAAAAAAAAAATAAATAAAATTTAACTCTTAACAAATTTCAAGAATTTTTCAACAAACGTTATATACTATAATTTATTATCTTTTTAAATATTTTATACGCAAATGAGATGGAAAACTGGTAAAAAAAATATGCAAACGAGGTTTCTTACAAAAACTATTTACTTCACGTTAGACGAATTCAATTAGTCGAAATATTATTTTGAGAATTTTTAGACGAAATGTTCCTCTGTATGATTTCACATCTTTCTTTTTATACGAAAACAGAAGAGTTATTAATATAACTTAACGAAATCTTCACACACACAGTATTGGTCATCCGAATTTCATTTCTTATTTTAATTACTCACAGAATAAAATAAAATTTTTATAACATTATAATAAAATTGATTTTTTTTCAATAATTTTTATTGTGTATCGACTTTGAATTATCGTTATCAACTTATCTTAAGATAATTTAGTGAATTTAATTAAAGAATTCAAATTATTCATTTATTTATATAATGGTGATACATAACTTCGCTATAACATATTAATGTCATAAATAAATATATGATATTAAGTATGATAATAACATGAGTACGATCATCATTTTAGGTATCAATTATTTTATTTTAAAATTATCAGTTGATCAATATGTATTTTCAAGCAAATTTGTTGCAGTACAATAAAAAAACTCCAGAAAAATGTCCGAACATAAAAGTCAAGTACGGCTTTGGGTCAGTTAGTTAAGGTGCGCTGACTCTGAGCTTCAAATTTGGCAGGGCATGAGTTCGATTCCTGGTACTTGCAGTTTCAAAAAATTATTTACGAATAATTAAATACAAACATTATTTTCAAGACCAGTATATGGTCAAACAAAAATTTAATTATTTAAAGTAATATAAAATTAAAAAATTTTGGTTATTGTGGTTCACTACTGTTCGAAAAACCTTTTCATTTTCAATTAAACTATTTACACTGTCATTAAAGAAGTTTATACATACATAAACTTATCATATATGCCATATTAGTTATATTGACATTTTAAATTGCAAGACAAGAACAAACTGCAATATGGCACTGTGACGATTTATAACGATATGACGGTCATATATTTGTGACACTATTAAGAAAAAGTTTTGAATCACATAATAATCATTGGCGTAGCAATAGCCCAAAAAATGTAAGTGAGATAATATTTAATTCTTTTAAGTGTTTTCATTGGTTTGGAAAACTTACAATACATAAACAAAACAGAATTTTTTTTTTTTGGAAAAAAAATAAATATACGATAATATATCATCAAGATATATATTGTAATAACTGTTTTATAATATATTTATATAAATTAAATTTTTGTTAAACAATACACTTATCAAATTTTAAACAAAAACGTAGAATATTTCAATTCCCTAGAAACTAAAAATATTAAAAATTTAGATAAAAGTTTTTGTTATATAACAAACTCATCAAATATTAAACTAAAAAAAAAGGAAGAATATTTTCAATTCGCTAAAATCTAAAAATATTGATAGTTTATATAAAAATTGTAAGCAAAAAATTAGTAAAAAAAATTATTTAAATAAAAGAATCAGATTAAAAAAATTAAATATTGTTGTATTTAAGGTTAATGGCTGTGTGTGTGTTTTAATTGCTTAAATTAATATAAGATCGCATATTAATGTTTTTAATTGTTAATAAGTCAAATATTTGATTCCAATATTAGAAGACAATACAATAGTAAAAAAAAAAGTTTGATGTCAGTGAAAATATATAAAAATTTCGAAGAATTTTCCTTTTGAAATATTAAGATAATAAATAAAAAAATATTTGTCCATTCCGCACAAATTAAGAATGTTTATAAAAAAATTAATAAGTGTTTTTACAGAATTAAATAAAAAAAAAATAATTAAATAATAACTACAGTAATATAAATAACAAAACGAAAAACATACAATTGTAAGTTGGCTATAAAAAATAATTTGAAGTTCATATAAGTATAAAAAAAATAAATCTCTCTTAAGATAAATAAATAAATGCACAATAAAATACAAAATAATAATTAAATGCAAAAAGCAAAATCATTATACTTAATTTATGTTGATCGTATACCCTACGCTTTGCAACCTTCTTTAAAAGTAATCCAGTTTTATACCAAATTTAAACCAAGAAAAAGCCAGAGTTGCAATTTAGTTGCTTTTATATCAAAAACTTTAAACAGTTTTTTTTTAAATAAAAATCTGTTTATTAATTTATTTATTTATTTATATTTATTTATTTAATTTGTTTTTAAATTTTAAAAAATACAATTTATTAAAACTTATATTTTCAATTGGAAAGATCGATAAAATCGTCTAAAGTGTTTTTATATTTTATTTGGAAATGTAGATTTATTTTTTTTTATTAACATTTTTTTGCTTTTTTAACATCTGATCTTATCATTATTTGAGTGTGTAACCAAAATGTGCAAAATGAAATAATAAAAAGAAGTTTGTTAATATTAAAGGTGTCTATTAACCAATTACTTTATAAGATAATACTTAAATATATATTTCATATATATAAATAAATAGTTTAAACTAATTATATTGAAACTTATTAAGTAAAGTATTAAGGATAGTAAGAGAAAAATAAAACAAAAAGGCACAAAAAATTAAATTTTATTGTGTAATCAACTCACATTTGTATACAATAATGAACAATGTATCTTTATCTAGTCTAATGCTAAAAAAATTTCACTTAAATACTTACTTTAATAAATTAAACTATACTTGTACTTGTCTCTTCACACCCCAAAACATTAACACAAATAAAGTTTTCAAGCTTGTTGAACAAATAAAATACAATTGAATTTATTTAAATTTTTTTTTAATAAATTAATAATCATAATTTAAATACATTATTTCATAAAAATTTAAATATAATAAATAAATATTTAATGAGTCTTTTTTTATACATATTTCTATATATTCTTCTTATATATGGTGAAAGTAATTTATTGCTTATGGAGATTTATGCATGACATTTGGTCCTATGGTGGTTATAGTTTTATTTAATTTCAAATATGCAGTCAAACTTCTATAACTCTAAAAACCATCTTGCGAGGGAAAGGTTCGACTTATGGAGACTTCGAGTTAAAGAACTATTTTGTTATTATATGTTATTTGCTTTCTTAACCCTGTTGCACTTTATTTAGTTCTAATTATAAAAAATTCGAATTATAGAAGTTCGATTTGTGGAAGTTTGACTGCATTTATTTATAATAAAATTATTTAATATATTAATAAAGAATAATATTTATAATAGTATTTATACATTAATTTTAAATATATATATTTTTAATTATGAATAGAATTTATTATATATCTTATAAAATTGAACCTAAAATTTATATTTCTGAAAAGACAACTCTCAACAATTTCATTGATCCCCTTAATTTTTTTTAATATTTTTTTTTAAATGAGTATAAAGTAATATGTTAGTAATAATATTAGAATACATATTAGAACTATTATTTAATATTGCCTAAATCATTACAAGTTCGTTAAAACAATGAAGGAATGTAAATAAAGCAATAGATATAAAATGGAAAGAGGAAAATAATTAAGTCCAAAAGTCTATATTTTTTAGGTTAAGTATATTTTATATCAATTATTATACAGGATATTATTTCCAATAACTTTTTAATAAAAGAAATGGAAATAATATTATTCCAAAAAGTATTGAAATCTATTAAAGTATAGATTTCAAGTTTCTAAAAACAAGTTTTAAAGCTTGCGGAAATGGAGTGTTCAATTCCTAATTGAAAGTTGCCAACTGTGATATCACTGGCCTTTAAATCTAGATTGACTGTGATTTTTCTGTTGTCCACATATTATTTTTCTATCATAAAAAAAAGTAATTTCGCAAAGTTTAGGTTGATACAAGGTTGAAATTTGATGTTGTTCCGGAAAATGCGCCAAGAATAAATTCATCCTGCCTATTACGAAAGATCTGGTTTGAAATATGGTAGACATTATAATGATATAGTAATTATATCAATTTAATATCATTTCAAATCTAACATTTAATAAAAGCGATATCAAACACTATCTTTCTAAATACATTATCTTTTGAATAGAAATATTTCTCGGTATTGGTCGACTATATATATATAATTTAAAACAAGAAAAGAAAATATGTGTTACACATATATATATTTATATTTATAATCTCTATAATCATTGGGTGTTATAATTACAAACACGTTTTTTTATTAAATTTCCTAAATTTCTGTCCGTAGCTCCTAAAGCGCTAGTCTTAAAAATTGTTTTGTTTAAACACCCTTAAAAGAGTTTGTTTTAAAATTAGTTTTAACTCATTAAAAACAATTTAATAACAATTTTATCATGAAACATAGCTTTTAAACAATACAAAAGCCACTTTAAGTTCAGGTCCAGATTCTGACTTATCAACAGAAAACAAGCATTTTTTGATTTTTATGCCAATATACTCTTAAAATTGATTTTAAACTCTTAAAATGCATTTTAAAACTCACGTAAATGTAGTAAATTTAAAGTTATTTTGTATATTTAACACTTATTAGATTTATATAAAATACTTGTTAAAAAACAAATTTAATATCCTTTTTATTCAAAAAGTATGTTATCAGCAAGTTAAAAAAATTCTAAAGAAATAACTTTCCATTATCTATTTAATTTTCAAGATAAAAGCAACCAAATATTGGTATAACATATTTTTAACAAATTTTTAACACTCCCTACCTGTGAAAATAAACGTAGTATTTCTAAAGAAAATCGTTTATCTCGAATGATACGACATCCTTTGACAAACAGGAAGCCTTAAGGCCTAATGAAAGGAAACTGTGCCAGGATAATAACCACTCAACGTTGTTTACCAAGTGAAAGCAAACTGCAAACACCTTAGAATCGCTTTCATTTCCATTTAAAATTAATTAATCCTTCGTATCTTTTTTCTAATATGAAGATATCTTTACTTTATTCCTTATTTATTTTAAAGAATATTTTTTTTTGCAATAATTAAACAAGATTTAGTCTTTTTGAGGAAATTTATTATTTATTATTTAATTTATTAAGTTGTTATACTAAAGAAATATAATTCATTTTTAAATTTATGAATTTATTACAATAATTATTAGTTAAACAATTTTTTATTATTTAATTTACTATAATGAAATTATTATTTAATTTACTATTTAATTGAAGCCAGGTAGAATCTGTTTACCTGTCTCAATTTCCCAGCGACATACTTAATAATGAAAGGTAAAAGCTTTCTTAATTCCTTACGCTTGGATTTGGAGGGCAACGTTCGCGTTTCTTCATTAATCCTGCTCTACAATCGTAGTTACAACAACTTCTTGCACAGAGTTTACTCTTAGTAATTACTATCTAGCAAGAGTATCCTCTCTTTCTCCTCACACTTCCACCCCATCACTGTTTCCTTCACTTGTTTTTATTTATCTCTTATATATATTTGTTGTCTAAATAGTTAGCCTTCTGTATTTTAATACCTGCCTTTTCCTAGATTACTGGAATAGGGTGTAATCTTTGGGCCTTTACGATCCAGTGGCTGAAATTAAATTTCCAAAAAGTGATTTAAGTGAGAAAGTGAATAGAATCCGCTCGTAACACGATACTAAATTTTTAAATGATAACGAATACTACGTATGAAAATATAATAATTTAATGAAGATTTAAATATAATTTTGCTTCATCTGTGCGGATGTGAATGGATGATGAAAATGGAATGAGAAAAATAATTGTAAAAAAACTTCTATTAGAGTTATTGTCATGGGACAGAAAAATTTTTTAATTATTGTTATTGTATTTAATTATTTTTTCTATAACTGGAAAACATCAAGAGCCACAGTATCAAATCTAAACTTAGTAAAAATACTTCTTAGAAAAGTTAAACAAGCAAATCCCATTCCATTAATTAAGAAAAATATATATCTGGCACAAATTTTTGTAAAATTAAGTGATGAAAGAAAGAGAGTATACTATTGATAAGTTTCCGTGAGCGATTAAGAGTAAGTTCTGGATAGGGAAAGGACAGGGAATAATTTTTCAAAAGAAAGGGTCAAGCATTAAGACGCTTGCACTTGAAATGTTGATAAGAATTAAATATTTGACTTCACGTTTTAGTTTTAAATTAAAATTATTAATATGAACACAAAACTCTCCAGAATACTACGGCAAAAAATATACTAAAAGTAGATAATTAACTTTAAATAAATAGTTTTTTATTAGCGACATGATCTGCAATATAAACATGCTGTACAATATATTTCTTTCTTATAATGTGGTGGAATTTTGTTTAAACATTTTTTATTCAACACAGCATACACTGAACACACCGTAAAAACAAACATTTTTGTTGGCAACGTTATTTAGTTTTGATTACAAAGTAGCCGGCAGAAGATATAACACTGATGTCACAGTCAGTTAATTTTTTTTTTTTTGTTTAATTCGCTCGCTCAGTTTTTATAAAAAATTTTAAATATGAATCTTTTAAGTTTTGTTGTATTGTTGTGTATATTCGGGTGGGGAATGGGCGCAGGCCTTGAACAGGTTGACGACTCAGATTTAGTGCATTTGTTAACTGGCGATGACAACGTCATCGTTTTGTTTAGTAAGTACAACATTGCAAAATTATGCGTATATTAAACTAAAAAATTTTTTTTAATTACAGCACAAACTAGATGCGAGGATTGTAATAAGTGGGAGTTGCTTGTTGAGAATATTTATAATGAACTTACTCAGTCTTTGGGTGCTATTGTGGTTAAAGCCCATAATAGTCAGTTAGTTGGTATTTATGATCCTTCAAAGGAACCGTCTTTGGTATTTTTTAGACGTGGTATTCCTTTACTCTACCACGGAGACCTTGTTGAAGATGACGTAGTGCGTTTATTTAGTGATAATAGAGAACCGGTTGTCAAAGAGCTAGCAGATGAAAATTTTGAACATCTGACTCAAGCAGCAACAGGCGCCACTACTGGTGATTGGTTTGTTTTCTTGTAAGTTAAAATATAATGCATCATCTTATATTATTAAAAATAAATCAATTAATGTATTAATGTAATTTTCAACATAGTTATTCAGCTGATTGCATTTTTTGTCAACGGCTGTATGCAGTCTGGGAAACTGTAGGAGCTGTTCTGAGACATCGTCTTAATGTAGCGCGTGTAAACAGGCTAGAGGCCGGTATTTCAACCGCGAAACGTTTTGGTATTACAACATCTCCAGAATTTATATTGTAAGTTAATACAATCTTATGTACAATAATGTAATATTTAATGATATAAAAATGTACTTTAATTTCAGCTTACGCCAGGGCAAGTTATATCGCTATAAATTAAAGGAGTACACTCCAAAAAGTTTTATCGAGTTTGCACAAAGCGGTTTTGCTAAGCAGTCTCATCCAGAACCAGTGCCGGCAGAGATTAGCTATATGTATATTTTATTTCTATATTAAATGCCAATGTATGCAATAATTTTTTTTTAATTTTTTAGGAGTGATATGCTATCCAATCCTTTAGAGCTGCTGACGGAAAACAAGAATGCTGTTATTATAGTAAGTGCATCTGTGGGATTATTAGTGCTAATCGTTTTGATCAAAAAATGTTTTACAACAAAACCTAAGAGTCCATCACCTAAAAGCAAGAAAGCTAAATAGATTTTAGTGTGACTTAACTTATGATATCAAATATTTTTTTTTACTTAATTATTACTTAACATTTCATTCCAAGAACAAATTTAATTTATTCTCTTTTATAAATGGCTTGAGTAGTTTCACTATTTTTAATGTTATAAAAAATAAATCTATTGAAATAAATAATCAATTGTTTTCCCATATTGTGTTCTTATAAATATTAATACGAATTAAGTTAAGTACAAAATATTGTACGAGAAATAAGCTATATTTTTTATTAAGTTTCATTATGTATAACTAAAGCGAATTGTTTTTTGTTTTTACTAAAACTATTTTGTATTAAAAATATAAATTAGAGAAAGAATAAAAGTTTAATAATTGGCTTTAGTAACACTTAAAAGTAAGTTTCTAATATTATATGAATGTATATATAATAGAGTTATGTTACATATATATTCTAGTTATATAGTTAAAACGTTTATGTAATTGTGTTTTAATCACAGAGCTTATTTTAGCGTTCAATAGGAAATGTTAAATGTTAATTAAAATTGTTAAATATATGGTAGTAGTAAAAATTTAAACTACTATTTGAAATTTTAACTACCATTAGCATTATATTTAAATGAAATATAATAATCAATTATTTTAAAAATTTAAGAAATATCTTACTTTAAATTCGTAGTTGATTTTTGATGTCCGTTTTCTTTCTTATTACTTCTAATTATCGTAATGAAGATTTTATTAGCCTATTATTGTTAACATGTTCTCCTTATAAATTTAATTATCGTCAAATCAAATAATATATTGAATATTACTGAATTTAAAAAAATAAATAAATGAATAATTGAAATTTTTGGAAATAATAAAAATTCCTTTATCAAGGTTACTTAAGCAAGCCAAGTGAAAGCAAATATAATTACAATTTAATAATTACAATTATGGAATAATTCAATTAGTGAGTTTGCTTTTGATGGCTAATTGACATTCACTTTTTTTTTAGGAATATTTCCAATCTATCATAAATAATTCATCTATTGTATATGTGGATTAATTAAATTATATTAGTGCTATAATACAAGGTACTTAAATATATACATTTATAACTATGTAACTCTAAAAACTGTCCGAAGGCTGTATTTGCTGGACATGTACAAATTCATATGAAAAGAGAAATATGAAATCTTTTTCGAATTCATTAATATCCAAAAATTGTCGGGTATACGTCCTGAAGCCGGTCTTCGACAACGACGACCAAATTTCGTTCACCACCCCCAAAGGAATTTTACAAGCCGATCCCAGCTTGGAGTTTGGATTAATATCCAAAAATTGTCGGATATACGTCCCGAAGCCGGTCTTCAACAACGACGATCAAGTTTTGTTCACCATTTTACAAGCAGATCCCAGCGGGTTACAACAACAACAACCGAAATAAAGTAACAACAACATTGAGAGAGGTTGATTGTGCTGCATATATCGATAGTGTCCTTTTTCATTTTATGGTTGCAGAGTAATATGGTCCCAAAAAAAGCTTTACCTGATGTTTTTTGTAAAAAACTGTGCAGCCAGTATTATGTAGATCATGTGTTCAATAGTGACTTACCTCGTATAAGTCAGTCTATTTGTAGTGTGTGCTTTAACTACAGCTTTACTCGTAATGTTAGTTATCTATGTTAACTGTTTTTCAGCATACACTGGTAGCTTGAGCCACTAGCAATTTATTTGAAAGTCCCCATTGTCGACTGGATAATTCGATTTGAGTTATTTCAGTACACCCCCATAATATACCTATTCATTTCCAATACCTCACATATTTTTTAATGGGCTTTCCAATCGACCCTGATATCATAAATGTGTGCTAAAACTGCTCCGCACAGAGTGTGAATTCTACAAAGGTCTTGTATATAAACAAGCTTTAAAAAATCTTAAAAAAATGTGGCTCTAACTTAAGAATAGCACTTCAAACACTCATTCAATTCGCTAAAATGGTTTCTATAAAATAAATATGGAAACTCAATATCATCTAGTAGCACCAGTCACGAAGTTTAACTTAACCTAACTATTTTCCCAAATGTCCTTATAAATATATATCTCATATGTTGATATATAAATGTTAATAACCTTTCAATTTTTTTTAAATTTTTAGAGTACTATTTCTCTTATTTTATGAATTTATTTATTAATTTTTTTTTGTTTTTATTGGCTAATTATTTCTGTCATTGAACTTCCAATTGGTTCTGAGAAGAACGTTATTCTCAATGCGGTGGAGCTGACACCAAAACTAAAATTATGGTTTCTTAGCATAATTGGTGCTTGGCTATAATTCCAAAAGTAAATAAAATCATCGACAGCTTTGAGACGTTCATACAACTTTTCAAACAAATCAGTTTAGAAAATATTTTAGACGAATTATTATAAATTTATGTGTAAGTTTGTATATAAATTTATGAATATATAGTTTGTATCGTTCATATATATACAACAAAGTTAATTGCGTTAGAGATACTTATACTTCAGGGTCAAGTTTGAAGCCACTGTATGAATAAGGTGAAGACAGCGATTAAGTACAATTCGTATATTTTAAGAAATGCAGATAACTCGTATTTTAAATTATAGCTTTAATTATCTTTAGCAGTTTGGCTAACATAGTTTGCTTAGAGAATAGCAGATATTAAACTTTTTAATAAAGTATCTTGTCATTCTCGTATTTCTAAAATTCTGAAATCGTTTAATAGAGACAATGAGGTGACTACCTTGATTGTGAATGACATTAAATATCAAAACACTGTTTTGCTGTCTCCGAGTGACTGACAGAAATATAGTTTTTATATAACTTCTGATATATGTTTGTAATTCAAATAATATCTAATAGATAATGCTTTTATCATTCTATTTTATATTAAAACATTTAGTTGCGTATCCTGATGCATTTAAGAAGGATTGGTAAGATAAGATAAGAAGTATACAATTTTTTTGCAAACACATAACAGATGTTTATCAAATTTTCTTTTAATGAAGTATTATTCCTCCTAAAGCTTCCTTACTTAACCGTGGAGTGTTACCTAACATATATTCCTGTTCTACTTTAATAAAAGTAAACTGATTTACATAAATTATTATAGGGTTTTTCAAATAGTAAAGAAAGAAAGGACAAAAACAAAAATTTATTTAATTTTATTGAAATTTGGCTGACCATACAACGCTGTTTCGACTATTGCCAAGTACTCTTCAGCAGTGGTCTTAGGAAATAATCGAATTTTTAATTGGTTTATAGTCCGTATATAATTTGTTTGCAAGTGCCAGGCTTAGAATTCAAGTTAGAAGCGATGACTAATCGTGTTTCCACAAGTATTCAAAGTGCATACAGTTTCAGTGCTCTAGTTCTAGGTTTTTTGTCACTTTTTTTAATTGTTAAAGACCTCTATAAAAGTTTTTATAGACTTTTATTGGGCGGAAAACCGTTATCGATATTTCTTCTTAATTTAATTTTGGTTCATTTCTACACTTATATTGTACAATATATAAAAATGTTATATGTGAAAATGTTATATTTATTTGCGAATAATAGTGATATATACGTATATGTACATAAAAAATTATCTGCATTTTTTTAATATATTTTATTTCAGAAGCAGAAATATAATAAAAATAAATAAAATTCTATAATTTGAAAACTAGGTAAATCGAAACTTCCTTTATTCTAACGGCTTCAGTTTCCTTTTAGTGTTCGATTTACAGGGTCTACTGAATCCGAGTTAAAATAGTGAGGTATATTCATAAATGAAATAAAAAAATAACGTGTTTTGTTAACAGAAATTTTACTATTCCTCTTCTATTTGATTTGTAGATTAGCTAATATTTAGAATCAAATACTTTTATTTTCTGTACAGATCTTTCCATAATATTTTTAATTAATTTATTAAACATATAGTTACTAGCTTATTAGGATAAATAAGTACTCTAAACGCTACTCAGTTTCCTTTTGCTTTAATATGATTGCCAGCAAATTCTTCATAAATTTAAAATAAATCACTTAACAACACTGTTGCAAACGTCATTATCGCAAATAACGATATGGCGTGCAGTGTGAAATGATCGTTACAAAATTCGCGGATATTAAATAATATTCGTTTATTAATTATAATCAAATAAATCATATATTATTTTGTACTGTTTTGAAATGATGTTAAATAAATCACACAATGTTATTATTGTGTTCAATTAATTAGTAATAAATTTTTAATTAATATGAGATGTGCTCATAACAAATATCAAATTTTAAAGGAAAGACTATTCATCACAAAAGTGTGATTCAGAAGAAAAAATCAAAATACGTTGTATTTAAATAAATTTTAATATAATTTGAAGTTAATTTATTAATTGATCATTTGAAAATTAAGGGAATGTGTATATTTAAAATGTGATAAGAATTCTTAAATTGTATTGATGGTATTAAACATTTCTTTCTTCACTTACATGAACCACCATTTTGATTGCAGACAAATACACAAGAGAAAACTAACAACAACAAATTTCAATTCCATTATTGGTGAGTACTTTTTTGTGGGGAATTTTTATCTATTATAAAAGGATTTTCTTGTTAGTTTCACTTAATATCCTTTTATAATTGTTTAGAGTTTATACATAGATATTTGTATAAATAAATTCATAAAAATTATCATAAGAATCTTTAATCAATATATTTTACAGAAAGACAATATTTTATTTATAAAATGTACACTAATCGGTTTTTAGAGAAACCCATAAGTGATAATAATTTTAATAAATATTTTATTTATTAATAAACAAAAAATTAAATATAAAATTTGTTTATATTTTGAATATTATTTATTTGACTTTATCTGTTTTTGTTCTGATTAATTTTGAAGGCAATCAACAAGGCCCAAATGTAAGAAACTGATAATCCATTAATTACACTGACCGAAATAATCAATTTAATATTAACTTTATAACCGTATTATTTGATTCTAAGAATTTTGGCTAGAAGCTAATCAGTGATTAATCAGAACACCTGCCTTGAATACAGTAGTTTAGAATATTCTACGTGACACATACTTACCTCTGACGTAAAAAACATAAAAAAATTAACCAGATTCAATTGATATTATATATGAAACAAATAAACAATAAATAGTTAAAGAAAATTACATTTATAATAAAAGAAATAACTCAATCTAATGTTCTTCTAAGAAAAATAAAGTTTTTTATGATATATTGATAACAAACC